TTTTTGAGAAACACTGTATCTGTATTTCTCTAAGCAACTGAAAGAGTTAATTGCTTCATTAATTTTCCTACATGTGTTTGTTTATGTATCAGTAATATGCACATAAAAAATATTCCAACTCCCTAAAGCTTTAGCTGAGATGTAAAAAGACATGAAATCCTATTGTTAGACTCATTCCACCAACTTAGATATTGCTCTTTTTTACTGTCTTCTCTTAAAACACCTTTATTCTTCTCTGTCACAGACTACATTAGTTTATAAGAAATATTTTACATGATAGTAGGGATCTGGTAAAGTTTGGATGCAATGTAATTCTCACAGAGAGAAAGGAAAACAAAGGTTCCCAAAAAGATGAGAGGGTGATTTAGCACCAAAATAACTCCAGATATTGCCCATAGTCAGCTCCTATGCTACAGGATATTTGAGTCAGAGACACTCCAAGAAACAAGATTTCTTATACTAGGCTCCAGGAATGGGGCTCCATCCTACTTGCTAAGTTCTTTAACTGTACAGAAACGTCTCTTAGAGTCCAGAACATTTTTTATTATCACCTTTCCTTTCCAGATACTTTCTACTCTTTCCTTTAACCCACTAACCTGCTCTGATGGTTGCTTTTTTCTTTTTAAAACCTACAAAAGCAATACATGAAAACTGAAAGATATCCAATCCATACAATTCATGGTAATGTACTATAAAAGGCAAAATCACTCTTCAGCCCCTACCAATGCCAGACCTATCCAGAAGAAACCCCTATTGGTATTTTGGTATATGCTTCCTTTTTCCTGTGCATTTACAAATGTGAGAGTGGGTGTCCATTTCTTCCTACAATGAAAATATGTTAGTACATACATATATATAGATGGTCCCCAACTTAAGATGGTTCCACTTAGGATTTTTCAACTTTGAAATGATGCAAAAGTAATATGCATTCAGTAAAAACAGTTATTTGAGTTTTAATCTTTTCCTGGGCTAGCAATATGCGGTAGCATACTCTCTCATGATGCTGGAGCCCAGCTCCCAGTCAGCCACATGACAATGAATGTAAACAACCAATACCCCACGTGTACTGTGTTGCCAGATGATTTTGCCAAACTGTAGGCTGATGTAGTGTTCTGAACCAGTTTAAGGTAGACTAGGCAAAGCTAGGTTAGATAGGTAGGTGTATTAAATGCATTGTCAACCTAAAGATATTTTCAACTTATGGTGGGTTTATTGGGAGTATCGTAACCCCATTAATTTAAGCCAAGAAGCATCTGTATACACATAAGAGAATATTTCTGCAAGAAATTCCAGAAGTAAAAATGCTGAGTCAAAGAACATGTGCTTTTTAAATTTCTATAGCAACTACCACAAAGCTTTATATATAATGGTTTCACCTTTTACAAGTAGAATGTATTTACTACTTTATATAACTAAAAATTAATGTAAATACTTTAAAAAGTACAATCTACACACTCAACATGAGAGTGACTGTTTCTCCTTTTATTGCTTATAAACAGGAATTACCAAAGAAGAAAGACATGATGTGCCCACCCAATTGATTTTCCCAAGAGAAAAATGACAAGTGGAAAGGGCATAATGTCCATTCTTTGACCTCAAATCCACGATATTATTTTCACTTATAACACTTTGACATTTCTTGTAAAAAAATTTACAAACTAAATGTCAGTTTTCCTTCAAAACAGGGGAAGATAGCATTTATATACATGGGTACTTCAAAAAGTTTATGAAAAAACAGAATTAAAAGATAATATGAATCTCTCCATGAACTTTTTGAAGTACCCTAATATACTAGAAACTATATACAGTGTATATTTTTAAAAGCATTGGGTACAGCATGCAATATCCCAACATGGGTATAATGGCTGAGACTAGAGCAAACAAATCCAAACCACAGCACACATGTAGGGGAACCCTGTGCACCTGGATGAGCAGTGGAGAAAGTACAACCTGTATGGAATCTGTACAGTTTTGAACACTGTCCAAGAAGCCAAATTTCCTATAGATTTTGCATAGACAGCAACATTTTGAAAATAGAACCTAGATGCCTTAGCTCCTTAGACCAGCCCTGAAAATAGCTGGTAAATTTCACAACTGCTATACATGAATTCTTTTTGAGAAGTTGTGCACTCTGGGAATTTTTAAAAATGAAGCTTATCAAAAAAATTCACTTCCAGTAGTCAAAACACTGCTCCATATGCTTTAACTGTTTTTAGCAACATACAGCAATACCATATAAGAGAAAACAGATATGAACATAACCATCTTAAATATGCAGAACAAAAAAGTCATCATGCTAAGAAAATCCTTTTCACAAAGTACCTGAAACAGACTATTCAGAACAGAGCCATTCCTTGTCAAATGGGGTCTCCTAAGCAAATATCAGTCTAGTGATATTTAGAACTATTTAGTTTTAATGCCAGCATCACTTTGCAGTTCACCTACCCGTAACCTCACCTCCAATGATAGAGAACAGGACACTGAAGCCATGAAGGCAGGGGCTTGGCCAGAGCCACGCAGGTGGTTAATGACCATAATTACAACCCAGGTCTCCTGGCTCGAAGCCTATTGCTCCTTCATACTGTGCTTCTCGCATGTGTTTCCCAAACTTGTCTATACACTGAAATCATCCAAGGAGCTTCAAAGAATACTGTCTGCGTTCCACTCCAGATTTGTGATTTAACTGATCTGGGGTACAGCCTGGGATCTGAAATTTTTAAAAGATCCCCAGGTGATTCTAATATGCATATGAGACTGGTAACTTGTCAGACAGAACTTATTAGACAGAAGAATTTCACTCCTGTAAGTTCCCGCCTTTCTAAAATAAGTAGTTATAGTCATGTTGGTGGACATAAGTTGGCTGCTTACAACTGCTAACAACCTGTCTCTAAGGTCTTCTAGTTTATTGTTTTTAGTCTGCTGTGGGCTGAAAATACCTGCTAACAAAATGTGTTAAAACAGGATATAAAATAAAAATAAGTCTATACTGAATGAGAATCGGGCTCCTCCATGTGCATACACTTGGCATAGTTATTTTTGCTACTTAGAAGCCTTTGTCAGATACAGCTACTTTGGAGAACAGTTTGGAAGTTGCTTATAAAGTTGAACAAATACTTATTAAACCAACTGGGTACCCCATTCCTAGGTTACCCAAGAAAAATTAAAATGTACTTCCATACAAAGACCTGAATGTGGATATTTATAACAACTTCATTCATAATCACCAAAAACTGGAAACAACCCAAATGTCCATCAACAAGAATATAAATGAACAAACTGTGGTCCATCCATACAATGGAATATCACTCAGCAATGAAGAAGTGTAAACTAGGAATACAATAAGTGAAAGAAGCAGACAGAAAATGCTGCTACATACTGTACTTATTGTCATGACATTCTGGAAAAGGTAAAACTACTGGGCCAGAAACCAATCAATGATTGCCATGGGGTAGGATGGGGGTAGGGTAGACTATAAAAGGGCAAAAAAGAACTTTGGGGCATAATGAAAAAAATTCTATATCTCAACTGTAGTGGTCATTACACAACTGGGTACCTTTATCAAATGCATCAAATTATACACCTTAAAAGGGTGAATTTTATCATATATAAGTTATACTTCAATAACCTAAAAATAAGTCTTTGCCACATATTTCCAAGTTTTAGATGGTCCCCCAAATTTCAAAATTTGTTAAATTGTATAATCTCAGAATCAGAAGAAATCTTAATGGTTGGCCAGTGTTATGTTTGAACACCTACAATGACAGGTAACTCACTACCACCCCTAGTTGATTCATTTCAGCTTGCGAGAACGTCATTTTATTTACATATATACATATACATATCTATCTATACATACATATGTAAACATATATGCATACATAGAGATAGACAAGTAGACAAAGATATAGATATATACACATACATGCATATATCCCTGTAGCTTCTACCCATTGGTCCTAGTTGTGTACTTTATTTCAGTTGGTGAATTGGTGACCTGGCCACATTATTTCCTATTCCATACCCCCAAAAAGTACTTTGTACTTATGGTTTTCAAACTTCTTGCTCTTTTCCTCAAACCTAAACATTTTAGTAATGTTTCCATTTTTTCAATATTTTAAAGTGCATTTTCATAAATTTGATAAGCTACATTTACTTAACAAAACTATAGTGTTTTACCCCATCATTCCTTTGTATCACTCTGCCACTGATTGCTAATTTAGAAATCACTTATAATGAAACTCTGCTTTTTGCCAAGGATTATGATCTCTCTAAGTAATTCAACCGAGGACTTACAAAGATATAGGCCAAGCAGAAAGACATACCAAAGCATGAACTCACACTACATAGTTTTAAAAATGCTTAAGAGCTATAAAGATGAAAGAGTTACACAAAATTACTAAATATTTTCCCCTTTCAAAGACTTGGAGTCACATGGACAGCTACGTCAGCACACACACACAGGTGGCACACTGAAGAAAGATAACTAAAAAAGACAACAGCATTGCATATTTTTAACAGTTCAAATTCATGCATGATAAAATATTACATTTGCAGTGAACTGTTATCCGATTAAGTGAAAATGATGCTTCTTTCAGCCACCTGTTAGCCATTCTTTATGTATGATAATATACGACTAGAACTTTTTGCAATTTATTTCACCAATCTTTGGAGATTAATGTTTTTACTAAAATTTCCCCCAAATTGGAGCAACTATCTCTAACTACTATATTTTGAAATATTATTCTATAAGATATCCTTTATCTTAAAGGAATTCAAAAACGGAAAAACTACTCAAGGAGTAAAACATTTCAAATAAAATAATGTTAGCATATTGCAACAATAATTTCAGTTCTCACCATTAAAACTGTTATAGTATACATATTTACAATAATACACTGACATTTCACATTCACTTGCCTGTTTATGTAGTCCTTAAAACACAGTATGGTATTATGTTCATACAATTGGTTAACAAACAGAAAAAGCAAAATATAACTCACCAAACTAAATCCCAGAAGATGTCACTGTGCAATTTCCAATGAGTCCCAAGGGCACACAGTCATAATAATTTTTCTGCTCTACTCCAGATACTAAACATGAAATACAAAAATAAACCTTTAATTTAACAAGTACCACAACTTATAAAGCAATTATATCAATTCTGATTGTAAAACAGGATGAAACTAGCAGGAGGTACTAACACCAAGTACAGGTTATACAGGACACAATAATTAATTAATTCAATTGAAGTAATTTTGAGTTTGTTCAGCTAAATGAATCCTCAAACATTTTATCTGCTTGTTCCTCTGTATTCTGCTGCTTAAACTCTGTCTAGAGACTAAAAGTAGCTAACTGGGCTAAATAAAGAGAAAAGAAAAATTAACAGTTTAACCGCTGGTTTCACCAGCCTGGTCCTACTCATATGTTCAACAGACACAGTATTCTATGGAAAAAAATAATGCCGAGGTTAAAGTCAAAAGAACAGGTCCTAGCTCTGGCACTGCTAAGAACTCTGCATTTTGACCTTGCATAAACAGGAATATTTAAAATAAGGACAATAAACCATCCTTCCTCCCTAATACGGTTAGGTGGATCAAATGAAGTAAGGTAGGGGAAGATGTTTTGCACTGTGCAAAGCCCTTTACAGATGTGTGGTATTATTACGCAATTAATTTTTGGTGTCTATTCATTTTAGCCATAAAACAGCAATAATAAAAAATTTTCCTAAGACTTCTGGTGAGGCAAATGATTGGAAGGCCCTTGAAAACAACTAAAATGAGATAGAGGGAATAACTCAAAAAACACTTCTTTATAGTTACCACCTTGCTTAAGGTTTCTAGCATCTCCTCTGTGCACTCCCTCTTTTAGCTGGGAAGTTAATGTGTAAGAGAATCTACCTTTATCTCCTACCTCCCCAGTTAATTGGGTTAATTTGTTGAGACCAAGAAAACTCCCCACAGTCCTTTTCTACCTGCAAAGGTTTCCTTTGGTTGTTGAGTTTTCCATTGTTGTGTTGAACTTAAGGGGGAAGGAGGAGGCTCAAATAAGCCAGTGGGTTCATTTTTACCTACATAGGTGCAGACAGCCTGGACAAGTGGCAACAGTACATGTTCTCAAACAGAAGACAAACAACAAGGGAAAAAAAGCAAGATGTCCATCACTGTATTACTCTTCTTACCAGTCCAGAAGAGTTTTATTCAAAGGAAATGGATAATTACTGAATTAAAGGTATTTGCTTCCTCAGCTTGAGAAATTGGAAGGAGCTAATGCACCAAGAACTGTCATTCCGAGAAACTAGCATGTTTATCAGCCTTCAGAAGTTCCTTAGAAATGGACTAACAGACACGCTCTTTTTCATTTCGTTTGTCACCAACTATTTTCAAATTAGGTAACTGAGAAAACTTAGATAATTATGACTTGGTTCTACCCCACCAATGATTTTAACATAAATCTGGTTTTAACATAAATTGAAGTGTAATGTAACAAAAATTGCTACCTAACAGTAAATTTTCTTTTATTTAACATAATTATCCCAAAGAATTTCCTCAATACTAATGTTTTAAGTTTGCATTGATTTATTATTTAAGTAAATGGATTTTTAATGGGAAAATGGAATAAAAAGAAACTAATACTTCGGAGCATCTTCTATATGCCAACGCTATAGAACTTATCTATATATAATTTTAACTTATCTATATAATTTATTCCTAAACTACTCCATGAGGAAAATATTATTATTCCCATTTTAAAGTATCCAGTCAAGTACTATTTGAGAGTCAGAAAAGGAATGTGAACCCTATTAGTCTGACTCCAATGGCCATTTACTGTGACTGCTTTAGTAATAAGCCCACACGTACTGCTTTTTGCACAATAATCATGTTTCTGAAAAATGTATATTAATTAATTTCAGTAAATGAAACCCTATTTTAAATGGGTAGGGAGGCACTAAAAGCTTTATTGACTCATTTATGAAATGTTTGGGGGAGGTAGTTTTAATTACTAGCTCCAAGGTTATTTCCAGTGTGAAAAATCTTAGGATTTTAAGGTACATAATGGAGAGTTTAACACAAAATCCTCTTAAATCACGGACTCTTTCTCTTGAGTTTATGTCTTCTAAAATCATAAAATTATAAGGCAGAACAAAATGTATCAACCAATACTTTCTATTTACACTCTTGGATACCAAATACAAATATATAATTCCACTTTACTTCTCTGGGCTACATCTATCACAAAGTGAGATAGATTTCATTTAGACTTACAAATTTAGATTTAAAACCAAGAAGAAGTAATATTAGAAAAATCTGAATGTCTTAATACTAAATAAAAAATAGTTTTAAAAGTCTTAAATCTCAAACTTTCATATCTTCTCTGGGCTACATCTATCACAAAGTGAGATAGATTTCATTTAGACTTACAAATTTAGATTTAAAACCAAGAAGAAGTAATATTAGAAAAACCTGAATGTCTTAATACTAAATAAAAAATAGTTTTAAAAGTCTTAAATCTCAAACTTTCATATAATTTGACTCACATATGTGGTGACATATTCTTCTTTTCAAGCTTTTAAATGCATTGGAAAATATTTATACCCAAACAGTTTTTCAATACCAAAAGAAAGTAGTCAACCTACAACTTCAGTCTGGATTCGAAAGCAGGGAGCTTTAAAGTAATTATTCAACTCTTGCACTGGAACTGATGTGGAAGTCTAGGAAACGGGTAGGTAATTTCTTAGTAAACAAAGTGTAGTTCAGTAATTTCATAGTAAACAAAGTGTAGTAACTGATTATCTCTATTATGCCAGTGCCAAGCCAAAAATAGAACACAGACACAGAGTCCAAGGGAGCAACACAAGGCGAAACCAAGA